CCAGAGGGGACGGTAGGCCAGGCAAGTACTTGAGAGACAGAGCAATGGCAGGGCCTGGGTCGGGGGGTGTGTGGGCGCAGGAGGCACAGCAGCTGCTGTCAGGGGAGGCTGGGGAGGCAGCGACTTCAGGACCTGAAGTCGCCTGAGCTTTGGCCTTTGCTGTCTCCATCTGTCTGTCCGCTGCTGTATGCCCTGCACCCGCTGAGGCACCTGGCACGTCCAGGTAGCCATCTGCTGAATGAATGAGCTCTGCTCCAGGAGCAGCATGGGAGCTGACCTCCAGCTATGCTACTGCTCCTAATGAAATACATTCTGAATCCAGTCACCAGACTGCATCCCAGGAAGCTAACAAGTCAAAATACAACCTCAATGCCCCAGCAAAGGGGCCTCATGAACCCAATCCTTATGCAGAAACGGTCCATTTTGACACAGGCTGTGGTCGTGCTGCGCTGGTATCACTCCTGCACTGAGATAGAACACACTGGTCAGGCTCAAGCCAGGTGTTCGCTGGAGACCACAACCACCTTCTCCCGGCAAGCACATGCTCAGGGCGCCAAAGCCCACTTCCCACACCCCCTGCCCAAGGAAGGCCAGGCCAAAGGAGAGGTCTCTACAGGAGGCCCTGTGGGCCATCCCACATAGGAGACGCCTTCTTCATCAAGTGACCAGAGGGCTTCATCAGGGTTGGGGCACAAATCACAGGTACCCAAGAAGGCAGTGAGAAGAAGGCAGTGCCCCTTCTGAGATTTCTGGACAGACGCTTGGCCCAACACCATCACTCAGTTTAAAGGGCATTCTACAAAAGTGCCTGGGAATCTATGAAAACATCAAGATGAAGAAAGTCAGGGAGGGCCTGCAGAATGTTCCAGATGAGGAGATGAGAGACTCGCAGGTAAAGGCAACATGCATTCTGGGGCCTTAGGTGACTGTGAAGGGGGCGGGCACTAGGACCAGCCACCTGTTGGCAAGACGTCCTTGCTCTGGGTCAGAGGAGATGTCCTTGTTTGCAGGAAATAGACACGGAAGGGCTCAGGGATGATAGGGAATGGGTCAGCAATGCTGCCCTTGAAAACAGAGCTTTCTGTACTATCCCTACAACCTTCCTCGCAGTTGGAAAGGGAAGTGGGCAAAAAGATACAAACACACGTCATGAAAAAAGGAAACCCACATGGCCAGTCAACGTGGGGTGATGCCAACCATGGCTCGAAATCAGGGCGCACGCATCAAAGCAGAGTGAGGCTCCACTCTGCTCCCGCCTGCTGGGCGAGAGCTGAGAGCTGAGGGCACCCGGTGCTGGGGAGGCTCGGGGCCCACAGTGACCTGCCAGGAGGGACACGTCTCCAGCCACATAGCAGCACACGGGTCCTCTCCTGTAGATAAACTGCTCGTCCCCTGAGGCCTGGGCACTCACAACCCCGGAGGAACTCTCGTATGTGTACAACAGGGGGTGTGTGCAAGAACGTCCCCAGCAGCTATGCACAAGGGCAAGAGCGTGGAAACGGCCTGGGTGCCCGTCAGTGTGAGCACGGGTGAATACGCGCAGTGTGTTTGCCCGGTGGAATGTTGTACAGCAGACGAATGAATGAGCTGCAGACAATAGAGAAACAGAACGGAACAGAAAGTCTGGAAATAAACCTACACTGACACGGCCAATTGATTCTCAACAAAGCACCGGGGCAATACAACCGCGAAAAGAAAGTCTCTTCAACACTGGTGCAGCTTAATATCCATATGAAAAAATTAACCCCTGCTTCCTACCACAGGAGACACAGAAATGAACACAAAGTGGATAATGGGTCTAAATATAAAAATAAGAAAACAAGAGAATAACTTCTTTGGGGCAAGCAGAGATGTCTCAGAAAAAAAAAAAATTAACTATAAAAAGAGAAAAATCAGTGATTTTAACTTCATCAAGATTTAAAACTTCAGATTATCAAAAAGACACCATTAAAATATGAAAAGGCAAGTCACATGGGGAGAAAATACTCATGAAGCAGGTATCTGACAAAGGACTTGTATCCAGAATACATACCAAACATTGACAACCAATAAGACAATCCAGTTTTTTTTTTAAATGGGCAAAGATTTCAACATCACAAAAGAGGATTTATGAATGGCCTGTAAACCGATGAGAAGGTGCTCAACATCACTAGCCATCAGGGAATGTAAATGAAAACAAATGAGATGCACTTCGACTCTGCTAGAGGGGTTGAAGCCAAGGCTGACGCATCAGTGCTGGGAGAATGTGGAGCAGACAGATGGGCCACTTTACCTGTGGTTCCTCAACCCCGCGCCTTTCATCTTCCCAAGAGAAAGAGAACACACGCCCACAGGAACACTTACATCGGGATGTTTATGGCACTTTTATTAAAATAACCCAAACTAGTGACTGCTTGAATGTTGACCAGTAGTAGCATGACCAGCATGGTACCTTCATACCACTGATTAAAACAGAGAACAGCCCGCCAGCACTCACAGTCACAGGTGACCACGACGTGGTGTGGATGCTAAATGCAGGTGCTCACACCTCGTGGCCTCTGTATGGGAGCAGCTCTGGTTGATGGAATCATCATCTGCTCCAATTTGGCTGTGAGTGACAGGGGTGTGTACAGGTGTCAGAACCCTCACATTGCTCATTTTGTACACCATTTTCACATTTTGATGCAAAATGAAAATCTTGCATTTCACTGTATATAAATTCTCCCTCAATTAAAAAACAAAACAAAACAGAATGAACTATAATGATGTGCAACAATATGGATAGACCTTAACAATATAAGCTTTAAAAGTTGCAAAATATTTTATACAGCCTGGTACCCTTTTTATAAAGTTAAACACAACTAAAATTTTTTAATTGGTTCTTTTTCATATTTGCTTAGACACCAAAAAGTTCAGCAGCTGGTGGGGACAGGGCGTTGTATGGTGGTCACCAGGAATGGAAGGCAGTGTAAATAAGGTTGGAGCAGGAGTTAGCACTAGTCTTGGACGGCAAGATTACGGGTGCTGAGTGTTAGCAAAAGAAACATGGGCACAGAAACAAATAAGGAGATGGATGTACGGACCAGCAACCAGGATGTGTCCTGAACCCAGGGTCAGGGTTCATCCAGTTCTGTGCCCCTGAGACCCGGGGATCACAAAGAGGGAAAGGAATTACCATGGAAACTGGAAAATGAACTAGGATTTCTGCTCAGAACCTACAGGATACCACACAGCTGTCACGAGAAGAAAACGACTGCCTTACTTTGCACTTCAGAGAAGGGGAAGGGCTGCAAGTATGGAGCCCAGGGTCCAATTTCAGGTGTTGGAGGTAGAGCACCAGGATGAATCCAGATGCAAAACCACAAAGATCAAAAATCAGAGAAACAAATCAGACAGACGGAGGAGAAGGAGCCCCAAGGGCAGAGGTCAGACGAAAGGAGTGCAGCCCCACCCTGGGCCCCAGGCCTGGAGGGACAAGGGGAGGCCACCCGCAGGTAAATGTTCCCAGAGTGCCGCCAAAAAGAAAATCTACACATCATCATTTGTCATGCTATCAAAAATTCTTTATGAACATTACAGTGATTTTCTCATACAGATTGACCACAATTCACTTTACCATTATTCTACTGTGCAGTATTAATTTGTTTCCATTAACTAATTTTCCATCACAGTTAATAACACTAAAGCTTCTTTGTGCATATTATCTTTTTCAGAATTTCAAGGATACCTAGAGTGAAATTCAGGGTCCAGAGCATAAGCCTTTTTAAAGTTCTTAGTACAAACTGCAAAAATTATGCTGTCAACGTTACCAGTTCACATGGCATTTCCAAACACTGAGTATCTACATGTTTAGAGAACTTGGTTAATTTGATTTTTAAAAGAAGTACCATATGACTCAGCAATTCCACTGCTGGGCATACACACTAAGGAAACCAGAATTGAAAGAGACACATGTACCCCAATGTTCATCGCAGCACTGTTTATAATAGCCAGGACATGGAAGCAACCTAGATGTCCATCAGCAGATGAATGGATAGGAAAGCTGTGGTACATATACACAATGGAATATTACTCAGCCATTAAAAAGAATAACATTTGAATCAGTTCTAATGGGGTGGATGAAACTGGAGCCTATTATACAGAGTGAAGTAAGTCAGAAAGAAAAACACCAATACAGTATAGTAACGCATATATATGGAAGTTAGAAAGATGGTAACAATAACCCTGTATGCGAGACAGCAAGACAGACGCAGATGTATTGAACAGTCTTTTGGACTCTGTGGGAGAGGGCGAGGGCGGGATGATATGGGAGAATGGCACTGAAACATGTAAATTATCATATGTGAAATGAATCGCCAGTCCAGGTTCGATGCATGATACAGGATGCTTGGGGCTGGAGCACTGGGATGACCCAGAGGGATGGGATGGGGAGGGAGGTGGGCGGGGGGTTCAAGATAGGGAACACATGTACCCCCATGGTGGATTCAAGTCAATGTATGGCAAAACTAATACAATGTTGTAAGGTAAAATAAACAAGTTAATTAACTAAAAAAAAAAAAAAAGTAGTACCAAACTAATTTGTGTTTGATCACAAATGATGTAACGTTTTTAAAATCACTGCTTGCATATCTACCTTTGAAAGTCTCCAGTCCTGTCCTTTTCTGTTTATCTACTACTCATTATTCTTTGTGTTTTCTCACCAATTTGCATGAATTATTTCTATTAAAGGCAATTAATCTTTTAAGTATTGGGTCAGTCAACACCTTCTTAGTTTATCTTCACTTTGTCTATATGTATGTTTCTCTGTTGTGCAATTTTCTGTTTTTATGTAACCCCATTTATCAAAAAAATCAATCCACTCAATAGGCACTACAGCAATTACACAGAAAAAACTTAGCAACCTGAGAGACTGATTGTAACATATTAGAACAATGATTTTAAAGAACTACACTAAAATGTAATATCTCTTAATTACTGAACCAACATACAGTCAGACATTTAAATAAAACAAAGTTACTTACCGCATCCAAGAAGCAAAGGTAAGACCCTGAGCTCTGTGCTATTGCTTGATTTTTAGAATATCCGACTGTTTAAAAGAGAAAAGGAAAAGCTCTATTAGAATTCAGTTTTAGTGGATTCTCTTGCATAAAACTTACTGCGATACACATGGTAGGAAAGCTAGGAACACTCCACACTGCCAAGTAAAAAATTAGACCAATTTAGATGAAACTAAATGCAGTAAATATAATGATAACAGACAACAGTCCACCTAGTATCAGTGTTAAGACAGAATGTGCTCACAGAAGGAAAATAAAGCCGGCAAACATCTATCCAGCACAGCACTAAGGTAACCCTGGGGAGTATTTTTAAAACACAAAATTACAATGTCTCTGAATAGAACTGGCAGAAACACTTCCTCTAGAAGTCTCTGCTGATAAAAGTCACTTTACAGTTACCTGACAGATGGGGCCACAAACACATGAGAGATCGGCTGGTAGAAGCAGCTCATTGGACTGGACGCTTCACGGGCACAGATATCACTGAGCACGTGTTCTAGGGATGAGTTACAGGCCCTGTCAGTGTCCACTCTTCCTACATGTCCTGGGAGCCCCCCCAGCTCCCCCAGGAGGTGCAGACCCAACTTCACCAAGACGTGACTGGCACAAGAACCCCCCACGGAATGGAAAATAGACCACATGTATGGAAATCCTGGCCGCACACAGAGTTGGTGCCCCTTGCACTGCTGAGCACTGGGACAGCACATGGAGCACAAAGGCTACAGATTCACCTGGGCCTGGGAATCAGGGAAGCGGTGCCCTGGGGATGGGGGCGCTTCCAGGGCCGGTGAGGTCAGGTCTGCCTCAGGGCGCTGGCTGCAGGGTGTTCAGTTTGTGGAAAAATAATTGAGCTGTACTTTGATGATAGGTGTGCTTTCCTACATGAATATTACATTCTAATAAATGGCTTAAAATCCTCATCTTCAAAGATATTACAACTGAGTTGGAAAGAGAGGTAACCGAAAACCTATGTGAGGTGCCAAACAAATGGTGGGAGGCATTAGGGAGGCTTATGGAGAGGAGAGGAGACCACGGCAGAGGGGGTCAGAGAGACAACATGGGTTTAAATTGAGAGAATGAGGTTCCCAGTGATGGACTGGGCAGTGAGCAGCATGTGGACCAGAGACAGCTCTCACAGGGAGGGCAGCTAGGAAAGGCTTCAGAACAGAACAGAGTGCAGAAATCAACACACAGCAGGCCTGGTCTGCATGCCGAGGGCAGGGCAGGTTAGAGGAGGCACTGGGTCCCAAAGAAGGAGCCAAGGGGCCTTTGAGGGGCACAATTCCCACCTCCCTAGAAAAGAGGCTCCGGTACCCTAATCGCATTACAGAGACGCTTAGATTTGGGGCCACCCAGGAAAGTCACACAAAGCACAGCAGATGTGTGCAGAATTAAAACAATAAATCCCTCTGACTCAAAGCTGAGACGACCTGAAGACTGTGGTCCGTCCCAGGGGACACCAGCAAAGGTCTGCCCCAGGCCTCAGCCCAGGTGTTCCCCAATTTTCTGCAGTAAGGGGAGCAGGAGGAGAAAGCAGGTCCCTCCTGTTACTCGGCCGCGCTCTGGAGCAAATCGCACTGCGACCGCAAGGATGGACTGCGGCCCTCGCGCAGAGCTTCAAAGGGTATGGCCCAGAGCAGTGTCTCTGGCTGTCAACACGTGAGGCAGCACCTCAATTTCCAGCATTAATCCTAGAGCTGGGCCAACCCAAACCAGTGAGTAGGACTGTCACAGATTTCAAAGAACCTGTTCAAAGAACAGGTATGACAAGCAAGCAAAGGAAAAGCACAGAAGGGGAGGCAGGGGCCGGCCTCCTGACCCCTGGAGATGGATTAGCAGCTAGAGCTGAATCTCCATCATCACCGCAAAGCAAGGTAGGCCCAGAGAAAGAGCTCATGGAATCAAAACGGAAAAAACGGGAAGAGACTTTTCATAATCACTTTGAAATCAGCAAGACAGTGGTTTTATTGGTGTTGGGTTTTAGAAGGGGAAAAACTGACCCCAAGAATTTGGGTAATGAAGGAAAACGCAGCTACCAAGGAAGTTGAAAGTTTCTCACGATGAGTCTTGTGTTTGGCAAAGATAAGGAATTTGCTTTAATATTATTGCCTTGAAAAGTCAAATGTTTGTGCCAGGGCCTGATGTTTGGAGAGGCCTGTCCCTTTGTGAGAGGAGTCGGTTGTCATGGTCACAGCAGGAAAAACTCCCGCCTCGGTGAGATATTAACATTCCTTACTCTTGGAGAGAAGAGGGTGGGATTGTGTTTTACTTCAATTTTAGCAAGTGACCACATTATTAAGAAATGTTTTGCTCTACTATGATATGAAATAATAGTAAATGAATCTTACCCAATTTAAATACCCAACACTTCTAAAAATAGATGCTTTGGATTTACAGTATCCAATAGTTGATATAACATTGCCTATTTAAGAAAATATTATTATAGGAAAATGCGTCCTTTCTGACATAATCAAATTAACTTCATTTTGCTAATGTGTAATACAGGATTCCCATGAATTCACCTTATCCAACCTCAAAGAGACAGCAGAATCATTTCTTCACAATACTACAATTTACTTTTTTGTTATTGATAAAATACATACAAAGGTGATGTGGCTCAAGTTATGTCTACTCTATAAAAAGCATTTTATAAAAGACAAAACTTGCTTTTTAAAAAAAAACAAACTTGCTTTTAAAGTGGAGATTATACAACCAATCACAGCAGTCATCAAAATGCCTTTCATTTACTCTCATTCAACTATGGAAGATGCGAAACATTTTAATTAAAAAAAATCTTCAAAGGTTGTTCATAGTTGTTGTTGTTCAGTCTCTGCCACCCCATGGACTGCAGCACGCCAGGCTTCCTTGTCCTTCACCATCTCCCAGAGCTTGCTCAAACTCATGTCCGTTGAATCAGTGATGCCATCCAACCATCTTATCCTCTGTCATCCCCTTTTCCTCCTGCCTTCTATCCTTCCCAGCATCAGGGTCTTTTCCAGTGAGTCAGCTCTTCACATCAGGTGGCCAAAGTACTGGAGCTTCAGTTTCAGCATCAGTCCTTCCAATGAATGTGCAGGACTGATTTCCTTTAGGATTGATTGGCTGGATCTCCTTGCAGTCCAAGAGACTCTCAAGATTCTTCTCCAACACCACAGTTCAAAAGTATCAATTCTTCAGCCTGTCTCAGAAGGAAGTTGAAATAGACGTTCCACAACTGGTTTATAAATAATTTCTAACAGACTGAAGATAATGAAAATAAGAAATATTTGGGGGGATATATTAAAAATGTGCACCAGATGATGAAGAAGGGGAGGAGGAAGAAGACAATAACAGAACAGCTGCTAGACTTCTCGAGGGCCCGCTGCATGCGGCCTCTTCTGGAACCCTGCTCCCATCAGCTTGTCCTATGCCCTCCCAACACCCACGTGGGCACTACCGATACGGCTTGTTCACAAAGAAGGAAATCAAGGCTGGGCTGGGTGCAGTGGACCCGACCCTGGAGCCCTCACCCACCAACAGGCACCTCTGCATGAGGTCACTGTGCGAAGTCAAAGAACACAGTCTTTCCATAGGAACCTTCTAAAAGCAGAAAAAAAAGAGCTTTCTTCTTTTAAAGGACCAAGATTTTAAAATTATTTCTGATTTTTAATTTTTTTCTAAAATATTTTCTACAGTTTTCTGCTTTCCTAGGTAGAGGACATTGGCTGCTATTTGTGAGGAACACGAGGCTTGGCAGGGGAGAGAAGTTTGTTTCATTCGCAAAAGCCCAACTATTTCTTTTTTTTTGCCCAACTGTTTCTTAACTCACCTTCACCAACATTCACCCTTTACTTGTCCCCCTCCCCCAAGAAACAAAAACAAAAATACTGGCTGGAAGCTTTACAAAAGGCTTTACAAAAAGCAAAGGGCACTCATCCTGGTTGCCCTCGGTGGGAGGATAAGCCCCTTCACAGAACAGTGCACCATATTCCTTAAAAGCTAGTGTTCAGAGATATTTAAACCCGTTAGAGGGCGGGCCCCAGAGAGCTCAACTTGGGGGTGGGGGATGAACTCCAGGTAAATCAGCAAGTGCCCCAGGGATAGCAGCACAGTCCTCCCAGGACTCAGGCGAGAACCATGTGAACTTGCAAGGGGCACAAGCAAGAATCATCAAGTGAAAGCTACTGAGTCTCCTGACCACCCAGTGCAGGAAGAAAGGACCAGAGAGAATGCAGGAAGATGAGAAGGGGGCTTACAGGACAAGAGGTGTAGGGAAAGTAGGACTGTCTCTCCCACTCACACCTTTCCCCTGAGCGCTACCCTGAATGCTCCAGTCCTAGCCCACATCCCTACTGACCCCCTCACCGGGAAAAGATCTGAGCAGCGGCGACCCTGTGTGTTGGCAAGTCACCTGCTGGGTCCAAACAGGATCTCATCTGAGGGGTATCCCAGGAGGACCCCAAACTTTCAGCTGTGTCAGGAGCTAACAAGACTCCCTCAGGACCAAGCCCACCATAGAGTGGAGGTGAAGCTGCACATTCTTGAGGGTTTTAAAGGAGTGGATGTACCTCAGTATCTCTTGGGAAGATTCTTTTACAATCCCCCTGCTATGTTTATACCCCAGACAAATTATACAAGAAAATCTTAGGATAGGACTTGGGCATCAGGTTTCCTAAAGCCCCCCTAGACTATTCTAACATGCAGCCAAAATTGAAGACTACTTTTTAAAGAAAGACGTGACTCCTAAAACTTATAGGAACTTGTCCACTAGCCAATCTTATCATCTGTCCTGCCTTCACCTTCAGTTCTAGCAGTCTGTGCAGGCATATAAACTTATTCTCAAGTTTTACATGAAAATTGTAAAGTCAGACTACTGGAAGCACAATAGATTACAATTAAAGCTAAGAATGCAAAGCTAATCATTCTATATAGAAACGAGGGTAAATGAAGAAACTACCACATCTTGACCCAGCTGCATGACATTTCAAAACTCAAAACATAAAGAGAAAAATCTTAGACACTTTCAGAAAAGATATGTTTAAAATAATAA